AAAGATACGCATGACAATCACAGCTTCTGTCGAATCGCGATCTCGATTCCATTTCGATTTATCGTGCAGCCCTACTACCGTTCAAAAGTTTGGAGTTGGTAAGATTTGTTAACATTTTATATAGAAGCCTCTCATACTCACCAAGGCTGCATTTATTTGATTAAAAGTATATTGAAAACAAATATTGTGAAATAATATTACAATTCATCTTTTTTCTTCTATTTTTAAATGTTTTAAAATATAATATATATATGTGATGGCAAAGCTGAATTTTCAGCAGCCATTACTCCAATCACATGACCCTTCAGAAATCATTATGTTGATTTGGTGTTCAAGAAACATTTCTTATTATTAATGTTGAAAACAAATGTGGAAAAATTTGAAAAATTCTGAAAAACCATGATGAACTGTTTTTCAGGATTCTTTGATGAATAGAAAGTTCAAAAGCACAGCATTTATTTAAAATTAGAAATCTTTTGTAAGCGTATTTATTTAGCTAACTATGCATTACTTGCATTTAGCATTACTTTGTATCCATGACCCAAACAGGACAGACCTGTGACCCATTTTTGGGTCACAACCCACCAGTTGAGAACAACTGAGATGATTTCACAATCTGAATCTAGCAGCATGAACCTCAGTTCACCTCTGACTACTGCTGTCCCAAATAATCAATAGAACTGCGTGCAGTCTGACCCAGCCCATAGAAGCTCCATGTGCCCTGTTTACACACGCCGGGACACATTCACCCTCTGGTTATAGGTAATTGTCTGACATAGCATGACTCTTTACTTCGTAACTGCTATCTCAACACTAAACAGAAACAGAAACAGAAGGACAGTCAAATAGTCCATCATAGACAAATAATATTTAGTGAGATATTTAGATAAAAAGAATATTGTGTACTAGACTCAATGTAGCCTCTGCTGTACTTTCACAAGAAACTTGACAACTAAAACTAAACAGACAACTAAAACTCACAAGCCTTACCGGCACACCCAGACTTCACTACCTTTTTATTTTCTTTCTGTTTCCTTATTTAATTCATTCTTCCTTATTAATGACTTCTCATTGCATATCAAAATTAAGCTGGTGTCCTCTTAATAAAATACTTTAAAAAATCTGTTTTACTTTTTTTTTTTCATTAAAAAAAGGGATGGCTATAAATTTTATGTGTGAAAAACTGTCAACATCTGTCAATATCTAATTCAAATCTATATTTACATTCTGCTAAAACAGTCGATCTGCAAAGGAAGGGGAAATAATAATTAATAAATGAAGCAACCTCAGAGAATTTACAAAATGAAGAAAGGTTGAAAGATGTTTAAAGATTGATAATTAGCACAAAAAAAGTATATGTATATAAATAACCCTATATATAAAATATGTAAAATTATACCTGCTGTTGCCATGCAGCTCAAATATATATCTAAACTACAGCTATTGCTATATAGAGAGGACAAAGTTAGAAAATAGTAAACCTTCAAATATAAAAAACAGCCTTAATATACAGAATGAAATATTGATTTTCAGTCACCTTAATGGTCATTATAAACTTAATGAGCTGAAGCGCTCTGCATTAGAGCACCAGATGACAGGCGTATTTACACTGTCTAACAACTATACGATAAATATGTCTCCTCTATTTAATCATATCTACTACCAACACAAGTATCGAGGACCAGAAATATCACATCTGACATATTTCTCTCCAAATACCAGACACCACCATAACCCTTCAATTTTCACTATCGCGCTACATTAGCTAGCCAAGAGCTAACTGACATTAGCTAACAACAACTGTGATGATGCGCTTTGAATTGACACGAATAGACATGGCAATAATAATAAAATTATCTCTAAACGCATAACTGTGGCTGTAGTGAGTGTGATTTGTTATAATCAGTTTCTCTCAGATGATGTTGATGGAGCGAAGGCAGGGTGTTGTCTTATTTCTAATTATCTGTAGCAGTAAATCAGTGACTGGTATTATCATCTGTGATGTTTAAAGATCTGCATCTTGTGTAAAGATTGCGATGTGAATTAAAGAACTCACCTGCACATTTCCAGGATCTTTAACGTTGATAGTAGGACTGACTGTGATCCAGGCACAGCCTTCGCAGCCTTCAGTATTTCAGCATCCTCTCTCTCTCTCTCTCTCACCCATGACGTTTGTGTGTCTCTCCCTCTCTCTCTTCCCCATGACGTTTGTGTGTCGTGTAATCTGATCCTGGCGATATCGAAAGCCACATGGTTCAGAATTCGCGTGCTTTTCACCGCCGTATCGATATTAAAACGCCGTTTTCATAACGCAGCCAGGCATTAAAGGGTTAGTTCACCCAAAAATGAAAATTAGTCCATAAATTACTCACCCTCAAGGCATCCTAGGTGTATATGACTTTCTTCTTTCAGACGAATCCAGTCCGAGTTATATTAAAAATTGTCTTTGATCTTTCAAGCTGTTTAATGGCCCTCAGCGTGCAGTGCATCAGTCCAAAAGAAGTAAAAAAAACAGCGCCCATCCTTAATAAAAAGTGTCTCACACAGCTCCGAGGGGGGGTGAACAAACTCCTCCTGTAGCGAATCGATGCGTTTTTGTAAGATAAATAACCATATTTAAAATGTAATAATCAATTTAATCTAGCTTGCGCTCACTGTTGTACACGGAAGCAGTTTCCGGGTGGATGACGTATGAGGTCGGCTTTGCACATGCGCTGCTCAAAAGTAACAAACTTATGGACTAATTTTCATTTTTGGGTGAACTAACCCTTTAAATAAGTGCCGTTAGGCAATAAGTTAACGGCAGACGCCACCACGTGTTAAAATAACGTCACACGCCGACCGACGTTAAAGGGGTCATATGATGCGATTTCAAGTTTTAATTTCTCTTTGCAATGCAACGCGTAAAAAGACAGTATAAGTCATTATAATCTGTAATTATGTCCCCACTGGATGCAACAAATGCCTAGTTTATAATGGGTTTTATTGCTTTTGTCTCATCGCTCCGGCCGGGACAAGGCATCACAGTATGGTACGATAGCTGGCAAATACACAAAATAATGTTCTTTTTAGCAGCATCATATGACCCCTTTAACGTCGGTCGGTGTGTGGCGTTATTTTAACGCGTGGTGGCGTCTGCCGTTAACTTATTGCCTAACGGCGCTTATTTAACGCCTGGAGGCGGTGAAAAGCACGCGAATTCTGAACCATTTGGCTTTCGATATGGCGACGCCTCTCACGGTACGAAACCGTAACAAATATGGTACTTTTTATTTATTTATTTAGGGCTTAAACGTTAGTAAAAATAACAACAAATATATTGATTTTTATGAAAAGTTGGGTAGAAAACATTTATTTATTTAGGGCTGAAATGTTATTTAAAAATAACGTAACAAATTTATTTATTTATGGGTGAAACTTTAAATAAATAAAGGTAAAGTTGGACACTTTCTAATAATTTGTTACTCGCTGTTTTGAAAATATGATCCAAATAGCTACATTTATCACATACTTACTTACTTATATGGCCTACTGGAAAAAAACGGACATGATTTCGGATTTACCAGCTGTCCCACTTTGCTTATATTCAACATAGCAATATAATAATAACATAAAATGTTTAAATAACTTTAATCCGAGAGAGTCAGATTTCAGAAAATGTCATTACAAAATATACTGAAAATATATAGAAAAATGTAAATTCCCTATAGTAAATGATTTGCTGCACGTAAAACCTAAATATCTCACATAATAATTTCCTCAAGGTCTTGATGAAAAAGGAAACAAAATCATTAGAACTGTGGTTGTAACATCAGTCCAGTAGATGGTGCTGTAGTTCAATACATATAATAGAATCACATCCACAGAAACACTATATGCCGTCACACAGCAAAGAAAATAAAATATAGAATTAGTCAGATTAATTTAAAATAGACCAGGTTATTAGACCCATAAAAGTGATATGGAATAAAATGGAAAAACAGGCCTTTATTAACCCCAAATACAAACAATTAAATTAGTTTTATAGTAAATTAATAACAGTAATATTTTTAACCATATTGTACTAAAATTAGCATGGAAGAAACATTGATACATATATATTATGTTTTATTGATATTAAGATTGAAGTGTGTGGCATCACTAGATATTAGGACAGGTAATGATATTTCACTTAAATATACCACAGTTTTTTTTTCAAATAAATAATTTGACAAATATTTTGATATTTCTGTCTAACTATTAATCACCACATACTAAAAATGGTCTGAGTCTGACAGCACCTAAACACAAAATCCAGACGTGCATATATTTCCCATTGGAGGGCACTGTTACTTTTTTGCACTTGAGCTGAGGACTTTTTGACTTTTAAGGTCATTCTGCCAGACAAATAATAAAAATGTGTCTATTTTTGGTGCACATTTTGTAAAAATTATGGCGACAGACAACTTTCGCACATTTTTATACAGCAGTTGGATTTGTGAACCCATACCAAAATTGTGTACTAAAGGCCAGTATGATAAAGCTACCACTAGTAGTTGCATAATATTAATAAAGCTATAACAACAGTGAAGAGAACAGCTTATATTAAGAGCATTTCTTGCTCATGATGAGGGATTCAGTGTTACCAGAGGCTATCAGTAGTTGGAAAGATTTTTATAATTCATATCTGCCACTACACAGAGTGACGGAGCAGGGAGAGGGAGGAAATGGCTTGACGTGTGTCACTACAGTGTGAAGCTATCTCTCCAAGCACTGTGCTGCTGACAAATACAGTCATGTAGGAAGCAAATGTAAAGTTTAACATTCATTCAGTGACAAACAGAAAGACTTCCACAGAGGGATTATGCCAGTTTTGACTTTACATATGTACAACAACAAAATATGTACAACCCTTCCTGATCGTGTTCAATTTGCATATTCAATTTGACAAAACAATTAATACTTTTAAACCTTTTAAAATATGAACACCGTCTGTTAGCGATGTCCAATTCTTCCTCTGCTCTCTGCGGTCAGTCCTTGCCTCGGTATGTGATGTTTGTGAATGTTGATGTGGCACCTTTGTAGAGGGGGTTGTGGCCCTATGAGAATAAAAATTAAGTTGGCATTCAGTATGCATTTACACAAATCTACATTTGACCAATATGGTTTTCTAGCTTCAACCCTCCTTAAATTAATAGTTCACAAAAAAAGTTTGTTTCTTCATGGGAACAGATTTAGAGAAATTTAGCATTACATCACTTGCTCTCCAGTGGATCCTCTGCAGTGAATGGGTGCCGCCAGAATGAAAGTTCAAACAGCTGATAAAAACGTCACAGTAATCCACACGACTAGTCCTCTAGTCCATTAATTAACGTCTTGTGTAAAGTTGTATGTTTTTAAGTAACAAAACCATCATTAATGCGTTTTTTTAACTTTCCATTGCTTCTGGCCAAAATACAATAATAACGCTTCGTCCAATGAAAGAGTCCATCCCCTGATGTTCTCTCACATCGAAATCCACCAACATTTTTGTTTATAGCTGTTTTCGCTTGTAAATGGTGCTTGATCTGAGCATATTTCCCTCCTGATTCAGACAGTATCAAACAGTTACAAACAGTTTTTTGCTGCAAGACTGGAGTTGTGTGGATTATTGTGATGTTGTTATCAGCTGTTTGGACTCTCATTCTGACGGCACCCATTCACTACAGACGACCATTGGTGAGCAAGTGATGTAATGCTAAATTTCTCCAAATCTGTTCTGATGAAAAAACAAACGCATCTTGGATGGCCTGAGGGCGAGTAAATTTTCAGCAAATTTTCATTTTTGGGTGAACTATTCCTTTAAACATGAGTCAAATTAAACATAAAAGTTTAAGTAGGGAGCTCAGTATTGAGCAGAGGGGATCAGAGTGTTCACATGTGGCTCGAGACCTCACTGGGAAAGCCTAATTAGCATTGGATAATTTAAAACAAAACTTGCCCAGGGGTGCGGAGGCTTTTTCTTTGTTCTGAAGGGAAAAACAGCATGCCACTGAAACAGTAAAATCATCCTGCCAACATCTATAGTTCACCAAGCTACTTATACACAGTAATTTGTGCTTTTTACATTAAACAGAGAGGTGTGTGAGTGTAAATGTGTTTGGTTATGTATCCTGAGGTCTTCTGTCTGAAATGAACTGCAGTATGCATATAGTGGAACTTGTGCGTATTTTTGCACTTCACTAACCGTTTCCCACTTGGCACGTGCCCGCTCCTCCTCGAACTTAGCAAATTCACGCCGATCATGGATGGTGATAAGCAGTTTCCAGATAAGCAGGGCGGCCAGACCCAAGAACAAAATGGCACCAGCTACTGACAGGAGCACCACCAAAATATCAGGGCCTTTAGGGCAGTCTATTACACAGGAAAAGTAAATGTAGGTGAAAGATGCTTCTGTTTTAAAATGTAATTTATGATGAATAGAAAGTTCAAAAGAACAGCATTTATTTGAAATAGAAATCTTTTGAAACACCATAAATGACTTACTGTCACTTCAATTTCACAACTGTCAAATGATCAATTTAATACGTCCTTGCTGAATAAAAGTTAAATGAATAAATAATTTTTTTAAGCTATAGGCTCGCTTTTCTATTATAGTCTTGTGTCTGTCTCTTTGCTTCCTGTCTGAACCATTCCTATCCCAGTAGGAATTACACTGTGTCAGCGGGTTCTTCAGTAGCTTGGATGTTGTTTATTGCTGTGTGTTTTAACAAGGTGGGGTGCTCCCTGGGTTCTGGGGGTGTGTGTGCCACTAATAGAGCCCATGTTCCACATGTGTGTCCATTAAAGCAGAGCAGCAGACTCTCACTGCGGGCTCCTGAATTTACAGCCATCACACACTGCACACACACCTACACTTCCATACACTTGCGCAAACACCTAGAAACTCCTATATTCTTGGATCTCTAATACCCAGAAATAAATAAAATAATAAAATAAACATTAATTCCCTAAATAATATACTTCTGTTTAGTTTTCGCAAACCATCTTTGTACAAAGATTAATACCAGCATCTACAACAGTAAACGCAGCTATTTATTTTATCAGTAAGAGCATTAAGAGCATGTTACCGGGCTCTTTGACCAGAGACAAGATGGATTTGCCACTGTTGTCCTCATAGTACTGAAAATTAAAGCAGAGCAGCAGACTCTCACTGCGGGCTCCTGAATTTACAGCCATCACACACTGCACACACACCTACACTTCCATACACTTGCGCAAACACCTAGAAACTCCTATATTCTTGGATCTCTAATACCCAGAAATAAATAAAATAATAAAATAAACATTAATTCCCTAAATAATATACTTCTGTTTAGTTTTCGCAAACCATCTTTGTACAAAGATTAATACCAGCATCTACAACAGTAAACGCAGCTATTTATTTTATCAGTAAGAGCATTAAGAGCATGTTACCGGGCTCTTTGACCAGAGACAAGATGGATTTGCCACTGTTGTCCTCATAGTACTGAAACCTTTGCACGCAGTCGTCCTCATCCTTATAGGTGCAATTCACTGCATTCTTATTATGGAACACTGTAGGGTAAACAGAGGGTTACAACAGAAGGCTACAGAAAAAGCTAGAATGCTGTAAATACAAAAAAAAATAAAAATAAATAAATAAAATAATAAACTGAAATGAGGTACCTAAATCATCCACCAATCTGATTTCATCTCTGCATATTCGAGTACAGGTGTCATCATCAAAGAGTTTCCCTCTCTTGAAGTGCTTACACTCTACACAGTCCCTAGAGATAGAAAAAAAATATTTTACTTATATAAAATTTTGACAAACTTTTGAACCCATTGCCTATGTTTGGAATGGAATACTTGTTTACTGCTTACTGAATACTGTGTAGTATAAACTGTATACTTCTATACTATATTTAAAAAACTGCATGTGAATCGGAATGTCTTACGGAACAATACACATTCCAAACAGTAGTATGCTACATTGTGGTCACATGACCACATCATATTACATGTTTAATTCCACGACTGCCATCCAATTAGAAATACACATGATCATTTTGCACATTTAATGCTTTTGGCAGTCAGATCAAATAATGGGTCAATAAATATGTGTTAATGTGTTAAGCAAGGCATTTGACATTGGGAAAATGCACATTTTGGAAAATGTACTAGGTCATCCCAGTATTCTATGCATACAGAAAATGTGCAGTATATACTGCAGAAATAGTAGTTTGGTAGCATGCTATTCTGAACATGTTATTTTATGCTTAATATAGGAATTACACTCACTTCTTCAAGGTACAGGCATCAGGGCAGGTGGGGCATTTGTCGCAGGTGGAGCCGTAGGCCCCGGGCTGAGTGCATTCACAGCTCCCACACACACACTGACCACGACCGCTGCACAACAGCCCCAAACTGGACATACAGGTGTCTGTACGAGTAGAACAGTTGCAGTTCTCCCCCTTCCAGTCTGGATCACACTGGCAAAACCCACAGGAACAAGT